CAAACTGGACCAGGACATAGCCACGCTCCCTTAGGTCCCTCGAGTGGGCCACACCACTAAGCAGTCTTAGACCACAATTGATGCTTTACTTTGGTCTAGCCTGGCCTATTCCATGTCCATAACAGGCACATGGTGCCACCAGTTTAGTGTAACAGATGGTTAGGTTTACCAGCCATAAACCAGAGAAAGGGATTAACAGAGAGAGATGACTCAGAGGGGATTTCAAAAAGATTAGTCAATAGTAGGGCAAATGGGTTAGCTTCTGTGTGTATGCAGAAGATGGCTTGCAGTGTCATTTTTTTTCACAGAGAGAAGTAGACTTCCAAAAGGTGTAAGTGTAGAACCACAGGTTTAGTTCTGGTCACATTTGTCTGACCCCTTCATCTTCAGTATAAACCAGAAGTTGGCTACCTACAGCCCACAGGCCAGATCCAGGCCCCAGAACCACTGGCTCTGACTTGCAGAAGTGGGGCTTTGGCAACATCTGGTGACAGGGGGCTTTGGCAGCAGTTACTTCCCCATGTCACCACAGTGAGAAGTGTGGGCTGCAGGCACTCTTTCCATACTGCATGGGGAAAAGTGGTTGGTGGCTGGGTCTTAGCACCTGCTCATCCACTTCTGACTCCAGCTGGGTTACTCTGGCCCACAGCCTAAAACGGTTGTCAACTGCTGGTGTAAACTAGCTGCAGTAAATTTTATTTCTTGTTCACATTTTTCAGACAAGACCTCAAAGGCTGAAAGTATGTGTGGGTGTTATTATAAGAACAAAAGTTTACTGCAACATAAATGTCTGAAATCCCTGCATGGCACTAGCTTATTTGTGGCTGTTTTCTATCCTGGAAGATGTTATAAATCAGTGATGCTGTGTATCTGCATACACAGCATACATAGTTATGTACATAATTGGATGCCTCCTTGCATTTCTACTTTTCACTAATGTAATAGCCTTCTGTTCTTTTATATTAAAATTGCACCGTCCAATTTCCTTCTAATGTCTTATCCCTTCCTATGGCTTTACACCTGTTTTTTTTGTTTTGTTTTGTTTTGTTTTTATAAAGGAGAGGAGTTTGGGCTGGTTTAAGGCAGTGATTCTCAACCTTTTTAACCTCAAGAAACACCTGGATAGATTTGACGCACCCCTTGGAAAATGCCAGCTCTTAGTTTTCACTCTTTTTTTTTTTGACTGCAGAAAAATAATAGAGCAGTTTCTCTATTGTAAAGAACTCCGAAAGACCACAAATATGTATTCCTATTTAAAATCTCTGGGTTTAACTTGTGAATCCTGCTTGCACAAATAACCGTACTAACACTGTGTGGCACCCCACAGCACCCTTGAAAGGATCTCAAGACACCCCAGGGTGCTGGGGTACTCTGGTTGTGAATCACTGGTCTAAGGGGTAGGGCAAGGACAAAGCTATTTCAGTTGATTGAAAAGTGATATTCTTAGAAGCAGCCAACCTGGAGATTCCAAATACCAGAATGACTAGTGCAGGGCATCCAAGCTAATAATTCACATATAGGCTAGGTATAGACATTTAAAAAGCCTGAGGAGGAATTGATCTAAGTTACACAGTTTTCTCTAAGTGGCATAGTTTAGATCAGTATTGAACAGAACATCGATTTCCCCTTGGCTGGGGAGGTCCAAATCTTAGACTTGGTTCCACCATCTTTAAACCCATCTATGTGTACCAAACTTCTGGTCTGTTGTAGGAATATTCTGGTTTCTGGTCACTTATCCATTAAAAGTGGAATGTCTGTACCTGGCCCTTGGGTCTGAGCTACTGTAATGTAGAATAGGGAACACCATTAACAGAGAAAGTTCTCAGCCAAAAAAGATGCAACTATCCATTGTTTTCCATCCATCGTGACAAAACCTAGGGGTAATTCTATCTACCCTCTATTATGCTAATCTCTTTGTTTTTCTTCAGTAAGCGTATTTCTAAACTAGTTTTAGAAATGGTGCCGGTGAAGTTAGAACAGGGGTGGCCTGTGAAGCTATATCATCTCATCTGCAGTGCTGTCCATAGGTTTTGGACCGGTGTGCTGCAAGCAACATGCACTGTCCCTGGCCCCACATGGTGCATAGGGTGTGCAGATCCAATCTGGTGTGGGCTGCACAGGGTGCAGGGGCTGGAGCCAGTGCATATTCTGTACACAGAACAAAGGACCAGCCTGTGGTGTGCACTTATCTCTCCCTCCCTTCCATTGAAGCTGAGCTGCCATAAAGAAGGAATGAAGGACTGATGGGACCAGAAATAGAGCAAGCAAGAAACAAAACTCTGTCACATAGTAGCTGGGACATTTAGCTGGGAAGGGGGGAAAAATCTTGGGTTCTGGTCCTTGCCCGGAACTGTTTATATATGCTGCTTACAACAGTTATTGGATAAAACAGAAAAAAATTGTGAGAGTGGGGAACAGAATTCAGAACTGCTCTTTTCAAGCAAATTAAACCATAACCCACTGATTTTCAAACACAGTGGTGTGAGATCTTATTAAGAGTGCTGCAGAATGCTGTGCAATATCAACACTGTTAGGTGTGCAAATCAGGTATTGGTGTTTTCCAGATAAACCCAGATATTTCAAATAGGAATTCACAGTGTTAAAAACATTCTGACTTGTTGTGAGTTGTTCTGAGTTCTTTGCAACAGAGGAATTGCTCTAGTGAGAGTTTTATGTGCCTTCAGGTTTAGATGGCCACTGAGAGCAATTTTTATGGATTGTAATTTTGGATTTATGTGCCTAAAGTCTAATGAAGTCCTATTTTAGGTGACTATGTCCTTTTTTAGTATCTGCCCCTATTTCTCCTCTTAAGGAACAACCTTGTTTAATGGGAAAGGGTGTTAGAATTTTAAATCACATTTACAATTCTTGATGTGATTTAAAGTTTAAGTGGTGTTTCAATATCTCAGTAAAACTAGTACAAGACACATTTAAATCTAATTCCTTGGTAGTGCTTTACAACTTCCATCTTAGCCATGCTGCTCTCAAAATTGTAATTTTTAAACAGAATTAATTCTTGAGTGTCTTTATAAACATCTATTCCATAAAGTACTGTCTCTTTTTCTTAACAGTCTTTAGATAGGTGGCTCTTACATTACTTTGTTAAAGAAGTTGCATAAACATTGCCATAAGCCTAAGATTCCTGACTGATTCGCAACCAATATGATTATTCCATATTTAAATAGATCCTGGTATTAGCAAACAAAGCCACTGGAGTCCATGCAACCACATACAACTTATTATCATTTACATAACAATGATATTAGGGAATTATTACATTAGATGTTTGCAGTTAGATAAATTTAGCAAAAGTAGATTAAAAAAATGAAGCTGCCTACTTCTTCAAGCATTAAGGAATAAATTGAGGTTTCTACTAGTCAAATAAAGCATAAGTTAGAGAAACTAGCAAGTTTTTGTAGAATATTTTCAAATGCCAGTCAGTGTTTTTCTCTTGAAGTTGTAAATTTTAGACTGCATATAGCAGAAAATGCTTTCAGTAAGAAAATATTTTGCATTTTCATTATTCGTATTTTTGTAATGTGTCCTTTTAAAGAAACCCAAATATCTGACGAAATTGCCTTTCTTGGGATTAAAATAATTTCTATATGAAATCAGTGACTCAGAAGGTGCCTTGCTCTCTGAAGATCCACTCTTGTTGGTTGACTTATCATCAAATGATTCCCAGTTTTAACAATCTAATATTTATAGTAATTTATATTTTGTAGTTAAAAGCCCCAATGAAATATCTTGTATAATACAAGACCCAATAATAAATGCTTCGATACATGTTCTGTAACAGCATAAAAGAAAATGCTATAGAAAGGTAAAGCAATATGTAAGTTATAAAAGTTACCGTCTATAGTTTGTGTAAACATTCTTGGGTCTTTTATGGCCAAGGGTGTAATCTCCCTTGAACATTGACCCTGGGTGACAGATAGCAGAAATCTCCTGGAATGTTTTTAATTAGCCAGAATATTTAATTTAATATAAGAAGAACCCAAAACCATAAGCATGTTTGTTATATTCTATACATATAATTTTATGTCCATTGGATTGTAAAGATAAAATTGAAAGACACAGGCAAGTTTGTACTGACTGAACTATAATAATTGTATCAATAAGCATTTTTGCAACAAGATTGAGGATTCCTCATTGCAGTGAGCTCAGGGAAATCCTGAAGTCTTCAAGGAAGACTAAGCATGATAACAAGTTTGTTTTATTTCAGATAAATATCTGAAAAACAGTATTTACAGAATAAACTGCACTTTAAAAAATCCCACAGAGAAAAACAGGTGGAAGGTCAGAGTTAAAGTAATTTTAGCCAGATCCTCAGACTAAAAATCAACTTCATTTTACTTTATCCCAGAATTTGATCCTTTGATTCTGCCCTTGTATCTACAATTACCATCCACCAAAAAACCATGACCTACTTGACATAGTTATAAGCCAGCAAAATGTGAGCCATATAAGTTGTGTCTATTTGGACTGGATGAGGGAGTTAGATTAAATGACCTCTGGAGGTCCCTTCCAGACCCTACTTCTCTATAATTCTATGATACTATATTCACCAGAGAATGTATGACTCCCACATTATGGACACAAAGCATGATTACTAATGGTTAATTTTATCCTCCTTTGAAAAAAACAATAATGATACTTAAATAATAATTTGCCATTTGTCCAGGAAAAGTCCTTGTCCCAAATCCTGCAACCAGGGATCATGTAAATCTGAAGACACTTCTTGATTGGAGTGTTCTACCACTTGCAAGAGAGAAAAGGATCAGTAATTAAATGAATTAATATACACTTTTGCATGTACAAATGGATCTCTACTAGGTTGCATGAACAAACCCCATTTTCTTGTATTAATTACCGCATGCATGATATAGTACCTTTTAGATCAACTTGCTTTAGAAACTGATTTGCAGAACCAAAACAGATGGAAGATCCAGATCCTAGAATTATGACAGAGGGAAAAAACCCCATTGTTAGTGTTGGTGTAGATCACTGATTCTCAACCAGGGTGCTACAAGCTCTTTCAAAGGGTGCTGCCAGGTTTGAGGAGATAAGCGCAGAAGTGCAGGCTCAGTCCCTGCTAGAACCTTTTGCAAGGAGGTAAGCACCACAGCCTTGAGTCTAAAAAGGCTGAGAACTGCTAGAGAGTATTATATCAATATCCTTAACATCAGCTATTACCAAAGCTCGCAACCTGGTAATCTCACTGGATATCCATGTTGAAGCTGCTTCTAAGGGCGCATTTTATCATGTGCGCTTGGGAGGGACATGAATCTTTTTCTTTCAGATTTGGCTTTATTACAGTGGTTCATGCATTGAGGTTACACTTTATGGCTAAATACAGACATTCGAAAAGCCTGAGCCTGAATTGATTCACCAGAGCGCCCGAAGGGATGACAACAGTGAATGGTTATGAACTCCTGCAAGACCATTTCAGGCTGGACATAAGAAAGAACTTCTTTACTGTCTGAGCCCCCAAGGTCTGGAATAGCCTGCCGCCGGAGGTGGTTCAAGCACGTACTTTGAACGCCTTCAAGAGAAATCTGGATGTTTTTCTTGCTGGGATCCTATGACCCCAGCTGACTTCCTGCCCCTGGGGCAGGGGGCTGGACTCGATGATCTTCCGAGGTCCCTTCCAGCCCTAATGTCTACGAAATCTATGAAAACCCCTCCCTGCACCTTCACCTCAGGAGGCCACGCCAGGACGGCATCTGGGCATCCCCTACCCCTGCTCCAGCTAGAAAGCAGAGGGGTGGGGCCAGCCCTGCTCTTTGGAGTAGACAGCATAGACCAGCCCAGGGTTGAAAAGCATGCTGGGGGACTCTGATTTGACTTAAACCAGGAAGGGGCTGGGGACAGAAGTTCCATAAACCATTTTGGCCCAAGTCAGTTAAGTCTGATTGTGGCAAAGCCGGTAAAGAAAAGGACCCAGCTTGCACCCCTGCCCGAATCTTGTAAGTTCCAAGGACTTACCTGGATGCTTGAACTGGCATGGAGTCGGAAGAGCCAGAGTGAGTACCTTCTCCTGCCCCAGCTGAACTGGGAAGCCTGATGAGGAGTGAGGCTGATGCTGGAGCCCCACACCGATGGAAGTCAGCGTTCTGAGAGGGAATGGGGCCAAAACCCTGCACCAGCTCTGCAACTGAGCCAGGAGCCAGCTGATCGAGGCCCAGCTGTTTCCACTACAGAGATCACAAGCCTCAGCTGTGCAGCCAAGATCATGCTTGATTGGAGCAGAGAGCCAGCGGGAGAGCCTAAGAAGCCCTAGGAACTAAGGCTTGGTGGCGAGTGGACATCAGAGCGAGCTGAGCACTGGATGGGCGAGGAGCAGCTGAGCTGCTCACATTTATTTATTCTGATAAAAGACAGACTCTCGGGTATGGCAGGAACTAAATCTGAAGCCTACAGCAAAAAGGCTGGGTGCAGATAGGACTTTAAGTAATTAAATAACCAGAGGTATGAGGCGGGAGTCTAGGGGTAGGAGGAGTTCCCAAAACTTGGCCCTTAAGGTCAGTCGGACGATCCCAAAGAACACAGTGCTGCACAAACCTAGGCTCATTCTTGGTATTCCTTCCTTGCCCAAGGATTGACTGTTCTCAGATCACATATCACCTCCTATTAATCTTCCATCAAGGTTGTGGTGGGTGAGATTAAGCAATGGAAGGAACAGTCTGTCCTGAAGGATAGAGTGAACCAAACCTTTCCCTGTCCAGAGACCTGGAATTACCCAGTCACCAAGACTTGTTAGCCTGTCACAGGTGGCAACTGAGACTTGGTGACACTGATACTATATTTAACCAGGTTTATCTTAAACCAGTTTCAGCTATTTTGAACCTGGTTTATGTTCTGTTTCAGGTTTAAACCAGTTTCTGATCACTTAAACTGGTTTATGTGTAACTTCTGGCCCTAGCCTAAATGCATTTGAAAGTTGGTGCAGAAATCACTGGTCTCTGTTTTAAGTAGGATTTCATACAAAGACCATATTTCACCTGTGCATTGCGATATTTGCTGGCTGACAGTTCCTTTGGGGGTTATTGATTGCAACATATAAATGGCCTGGCCTATTTGAGAGTCTGTCTGGGAAATATCATGGAATTTGTAATTAGGTAAGGTGCTTGAGCTTGTCTCAAGTCCAAGAAAGAGATAATGAGCAGTATTCTTACTGTGGTGTTGTGGTTTCTGGAATTTGCTCCCCTCCTCATTTAATTTGAGCTTAGCTTTGCTAAATTTTCAAGGTTCAAGAGTCAACTGTTCTCCCAAGCTTTTTCAAGTAAGAGGCTTGGATTGGATGTGAGTGAGTTTAATTTTCCACACACAGCTGAGAACATAGCATGAAAGACTTTTCTGAATCATAGCAGGAATATTTATACACTATGAAAGTCTAGAAGTTTGAGGTAACTATGTTTAGGGCTGGAAAATGTTACAAAATATGGCTGGGAGGGACTTCTGGAGGTCATACTTGTTGAGGTGAAATCTTTGAATCTTTTTGATATATTAAAAGATTTTATAATCATATAAACTATTATGTGAGGTCATAGAGATTACTGTTATCTGCATAATAAATTTAATCTCTACTCTTTTGTTAAGTGAGCCATTTAGGAAGGACACTTCAAAAATAACTAGAATTTGCTGAGTATATTTATATGTTAATTTTTATAACTTTTTTATTTGAATGAGCTTTTAGCAACCCAAATTGTCTTCCTATTTTGAATAATCAAGTAAAGGCAAATTGACCAGTTTAGGATTACTGTCCTAATGTGAATCTAACTGATATAGATCAACCCATTACAGGAAAAATAAGAAATATTCCTAATAGATATGGTAACTACTCATTAAGGCAGGCTATATCTGTTATAAAGTATCTGGGGTGGAATTCTCTGTTATGAAGCTATGAGCACCTTAAACTAACATTTTTGTTTGTTATAGTGGTCTTTAATATTGTTCTCGCTGCTGAAAAGTAGCATGTCTCAGGCCCTGTGCACTGGTTGTCTGATGGAGGGGAATCAGTGACCTGGACCCAGTATATGTTCATAGCGTAAAATAAGTGAGGTACACCATAGACACCAGTCCTTAAACAGAGGTCTGGTTAGGCAGCATACAGTCAATTCCCTTTTCCAGGAATCTCCTCCTCCAAACAAACAAGGGTTTCCTTGCAGAAAAAAAAAAAACAAAAACAAAAAAACTCTATACAAACACCTGAGTTCAGTTAACCAGAAGAAAGCCGAGTGTCACGGGGTGGGCCCTAGGAGCGGCCGTGATCCCCCTAGCATCCCCTACCGTGCCAAGTTAACTGTTTAGCACCCTCTGTCTCGCCCGCCATGTCTTGCTGTTATATACTTATCTTTAAGGGAGGCTGCCTTACTGGTCTCTATGACACGGTGCTATGTTCGTACTGGCCCATATCCTCTAAGTGACCCTGTGCACCCCAGCCTTATGGGCTATGCGTGCCTCCAACCTCCCCTTTAGCATGCCCCAAGCCTTGCAGATGTCCCGGACGTTGGCTAGTCAGTTTGCTCTCTGCGCCCTGACTGGTGCCCTGGCCTTGGACTTACCACACCACTGGCGCCTCCCGTAGGCGCCCTGGCCTTGTCACTCAACCGGCGTCCTGGCTAACGCCCCTGGGCTTATCACTCAACCGGCACCCTTACTGGTGCTCCCGAGCTTGTCATACAACTCGTGCCCCTTTTGCCGGTTCCCTTGTATTCATTAGCCCACTCAGGCCGGCCCCTGAGCTGGCTCCTTTAAGTTTCTCGCTAAGCTCGCCCTCTCCTGGGGCTCTGTCCTGCGTGCACTGCCTCGCCCTCTCCTGGGGCTTTAAAAACAAAAAACAAAAAAAAAAAAAAAAAAATTGCACATGCGCCCTGCCTCGGGCCTCTACTGGTGCACTCTCCCTACTCTGGGCTCTTACACTGGCCCTCACCTTTTCCTGGAGCTTCTGCTCATGTAAATCACTTTCTTCAGGCTTTAAACTGTGTGCGCTGCCCTACTCGGGCCTCTACCAGCGCGCTCACCCTACTCTGGGCTCTTACACTGGCCCTCACCCCTTTATGGGGCTTCCCCCTTCTTGGGCTTCCTAAGGGACTTTCCCCCTTTGGGCTTATGCCTCGTGCTCTTCATGCTTCTGTTGGTCTCTCCGGGCCTGTCAGGTGGTCAGGGTCAGGTGGCCTGTAGCCATGCCTGGCCCCCTGACCCTTCTCAGGGTCCTACGCCCTACTGGGCAGAATACTGCCCTCACGGGCTGGGGTCTCAACCCCCACACACCACGCCTCTCCAGCGCTCTCCCACCGCGCCAGCTGTGGCACCAATCGCTGTGCCCTCGCTGGCACCACTTGCTGTGCCCCTACTGGGCACCAGGAACCCCCCAAGCTACTGGGGAGCTCTCATGAGGCCTCCTCGCACCCCTACAGCCTCACCTGGTCCTCCGCTGTAACAATAACAACCAAGAAACATAAAACCATAAGCCAACCGAATACAACACAGATAAGCCTCCTGACTGGTCTTACATAAACAAAACACAAGCTATGAGCCAATTGGCTACAACATATGCTCCACACTGCTCTGGCTACTCCTCATCTCCATCGGGGCCTCTCCTCTCCACACCATTTTCCAGACTCTAAGGCAGTAGAGCAACCATGCTGGTTTACTCTGCTTTACTCCACAGCCAAACTGTTACTGCTCTAGCCTCAGCCTCTTCTGTTTATATGGGCCAGGCCCAGCCCCCTGGCGGTCAGCTGACCCAATCAGCTGCCCCAGCAACCGCCAGCTGTGTTGTTCTGTTGATTGGCAGCTAAGCCCTCTCACCAATGTCAGTAGCAGGCACCCTAGTGTCCTGCTACACAGAGAACAAACAACACTCTTGCTTGCCACAGCTCCTCAGCTATAAAGACTGCACAATGTTGGCACTTCTTCCAAGACTGAACAGATCACACATCAAGAAAAAAAGAATACCACAATTTAACATTGCCATCTAGTGACTCCCATCATAAGGCTATCACATAGTAATTATGATACATTATTTATAATATAGATTATGATATATTATATAAATGGCTCTGCATCCTAAACTAAGCAGCAGCCTGTTTAGAGATAAAGCGTCTTGCCCTCGAACTAGAGAAGAGAGAACAGAGGAAGGAGAAGGAGAGAAATCCTAGCCTATGGTCTACTCACTCCTGCAGAAAGATCTGCAACTTCTGTTGATAGGTCTGTGGCTCAAGGATTGAACACAAGTCACCTCAAGACCCATCCATGCTGTTGCAGAGATCATCCTTGAATTGAGAGATTGCTGCTGCTGATATTTATGATATATTATACAAATGTCACATCACACATATTATATATAACATATATATGGCATATGCAGTATAAAGAATATTATCCATGTTATAGACAACATACAATTTATCTTATATATTATGTTATATTATGTATCATGGGATAATGTTATAATGTAATCATATTATAATGTAATCATGTTATGAAGTAATCATGTCATGATTTAATCATGTAATAATGGTATAATGTATCATGTAATAATATGTAAAATGTTACACTGTATCTTATTATAGTGTAATTATGTTATGATGTAATCATGCAATAATTTTACCATGTAATAATGTAACCATGTTATAATATATCATGTAATAATGTAATGTTATATTGTAATAATATTATAATATATAATGTAATAATTTATCATGTAATGCAGGGGTAGGCAATGTTTTTTGGCTGGAGTGCTGAAAAAACCACAATGTCTACCTTGTAAGGTGCTGGAGTGCCAGTGCGCCACAAAAACAAAACTGGGGTGGAGGGGGTACATGGCAGGATGCACTGCATATTTAATTCAATTAATAATCATTAATGTTGCTTTTTTTTTTTTTACAGTAAATACCAGGCTTTCTAAAAATTCAAAACCTGATGACAATAAATAAAACTTCATGAACTGCCTTCTGCTTGTGACTTTTTTTTTCTTGTTAACCATGTTGTGATGAGGTGGAAGAGAGGGAGAGAGAACCAGGGGGCAGCAGGCACGGGGTGGGGTGGGGGAGACACTGTGGGCAGGCTGGCTTGGCCAGGCCCTTGGGAAGGCTGCAGCTGGAGGAGAGCTGGTGTCAGGTGGGGAGCGGGGGCTGCCCCAGGGCTCTGCTACTCAGGCCACAGAGGTGGGACCCAGCAGCACTGGAGGTGGGGCCCAGCTGGCCTGGGCAGCTCTGCAGGGATGGGGCACAGTCACCCTGCCCATGAAGGGACACTGCCTGGCTGGGGCATGATGCCGGGCTCAGGGAACTCCCTGCTTGGTCTCTGTGCATGCCAGGTACATTGCAAGTGGGAGCTGCAGCCACAGGCTGTTCCCCGGGCTTTGGGAACAGCCGCCACAGCCAGTGCTCGGGGCTGAGCCAGCCGGGAGCCTGCAGCGCAGCAGCTCTGTGCAGTGCCTGCCCCAGCCCTGGCCTCTTGAGAGGAGCTGCGGGTGGGCAAGGCCAGGACCTGGGGGCTCCAGGGGGCTCCCACGGCCAGGCCCCTCCACCGGGGATGGCTCTGCTCTGCCTGCACTGTGCTCAGCATGCAGGGAGGCTGATCCTGGAGAGAGAAGCCCCCAAGCCCAGTGTCTTGCCTCAGCCAGGCAGCATCCCCACATGCGCAGGGTAGCTGTGGCCTATCTCTGAGGACCTGTGGGCCGGGCCAGGCCCCACCATGGGTGCCACTGGGCACCCCTGCCTGCCTGCCCACCACAGCTTGAGCTTGCAGACCCCAGGGCAGCCCCCACTCCCCGCCCAGCCCCTCCTTTCCCAAGGGCCCGACCAGGCTGGCTTGCCTGTGGCGCCTCCCCCCACGCTGCCCAGACCCTGTCCCGACCTCCTGGCCACAGCACTCAGCACCTCAGCGCTGCCCCAGGTGGTACAGGGTGTCTGCCTGCCTGAATAGCTCCCTCCAGGGGCCAGCCGGGCTGGAGGGCGCAGCCTGGGAGCATGGGGCGGGGGCAGGAGAGCACAGACAGCTTCCCTGCCTGCACTGCCCTGGCTCTGCCCCAGGGCCTGCCATGACGCTGGGACTTGTGGCTGCACAGCCCAGAGCAGCAACTTAAAAAAACAACAGCAAAAACCCCAATTTCTTTGTGTGCCTCCAAGTGTGCCAGGAAAAATGTCTCCGCGTGCCACTAATGGCACATGTGCCAGGGGTTGCCGACCCCATGATGTAATGTTATTATGTAATAATGCTATAATGTTATAATGTAATGTTATCATTACATCAGATATATCAGAACTCCAGTATGAAACTGGAAATAGGCCAGTTGAAAGTCTCTGGGTTAGGGTTACCATATTTTCAGTTCCAAGAAAGAGGACACCTGTCATGCAGGGGGTGAGGAATGTGGCAGGTCCCTGCCCCAGCACATTCTGTTGCCCCTTGTTCCCAAGCCACATCCCCTCCAGCCCCGTTGCTATCCCTCACTCTCTACCCACAGATCCCAGCCCTGCCAGTGCTCTTCACTCCCAAATCACAGTACTCTGCCCCCCTGGGCCGTGCTGGTTCCCCTCACTCCCAACCAGCAACTCCCTGCTCTCCCCCAGCAGTCCCTGGCTCCCCCCTCCAGCCCTACCAGTGCCCCTCACTCCCAACCTTCAGCCCCCTGCTCCCACAGCCCTGCCAGAGGGCCTGCAGCTGCCCTCATCCTGCCAGGCTGGAGCCTGGTGGCTTGAAGCGAGTCTGGCCTTGGCATGGAC